TTGAAGCATTCTTCTTTCAATGTGGCAGAAACAAGGAGCGCCTTGTGGAAGGCAGATTCTCATCTGACAATTTGAAAAGGAACAAAAACAACGCGTGAAAAATGGAACGAATTAAGCGAACTAGGCTGACAAAATTGAGAAGGAATTTATAGCTGAACAATCACTGAATCTATAGAGTTAATTTTCGACATATTCTTTAAGGTGAATGAATAAATGAACCACATTTTATTTTATTTAGGACGGTTCTGGGTAATTCGTGGACTGATTGAGTCGACTAGTGGTTGCCTACCAGTTGATCATTATACAACGAAGGAACGACAATGCCGTTTAAAATGAGCAAGACTACAGTAAGTTTTCCTGGATAGTATACCAAACAGTGAAAAAAGCCCTCGGTGAACTTACACGGATGTTTACAAGAACCGGCAAAACGCTGATCCCGAGAATAACCAACAGCTGAAGATATGCTGGATCGAATATCAGAAAAACATCTGGATCGCAGACTAGCTAACTCGAACTTGCGGAGTCATTCTTGGGACCGCTTTACATGGGGGTGGTGGCGGCGGCGGTGGAGGTGGTGGTGGTGGCGGTAGAGGTAAAAAGCTTGAATGAAAATGCTCATCGGGACCTGAAGGGCCAGTCAGAGTCGCAAATCGAATGCAAGGAACAAACATCCGGTCTGGGATTGGGGCAGACTGCAAATGCAGAGCGACGAACGGTTCCTCATTATTTGATCCAATACTGCCGAAACCATTAGTTCCAACAGATACTCTCGCGGAGTCCTCGGTCAGGGATGAGTTGTGATGAGGAGAATGGTGATTTTGAAATCGGAACGCTGTGTCACAGGACGCGTCAGGTTCGTTGTCCCGAGGAATGAACGGTGGGCGACCGACAGTTTGTAAAAAATTATTGAAGTAGTTGTTATTGTTACAGTCTAAACAGGGTTCGACCATAGATTGGGTATTGCGGGAAACCGGGAGATCAATCAACTTCAAATGAACCGGGAAAGTCCGTTCTTCGAAACTACCTGTTAGTGAACTAGTCTGAAAAGGGAAAAAGTGCAGAACCGTTGCAATAAGAAGCCAGTAACATGTAAATGGTTTACGGTGTATATCACAGTTGAAAGAAAGAACTGCCTGCCCAAGTTCAAGATAAAGAATACCGGTGGTGGCCCGGTGGTAACGTCACCAAATTACCACCTCGGGGGACGTGTTCGAACCCCGCCACCACCACCTGACTTTCCCCATGGCAGCCCTTTGATTGGCCGCTTCCCCCTTCCTGAAAATTGTACCATTGTGCATTCAACAAAAGAAAGTAAAATTAAAGGAAAAAGAAGAACTAATATGTTTCCAGCAAACATTCCAGGTACGAATGCATATTCAAGAGTCTGTAATAGCACATAATTCATTGAACGGTGTAGTATTAGGAAAAGTGGACCATTAAAATTACATACATATATATGTCGATCAAAGAAATGATAACTGTTCTCAATGTCTTTTTCCCAGTTGTATTCAACGTGGGTGGTTCTGTAATTTACCAAAACAGTTGTTTTGTCACATCAGGAAAATATATTTCATTACAAACACGTCATAGACAGCATAGGATTACAGATTCAGTCTGTAATGTGTATTCAACAAAGAAAACGAGTGGTAAAAGCTTGATGGTTAAGTCGCTGTTACCGGCATGCTTTGGACCGTCCGAGGTAGGAAACCTGCCACCTCCGCCCAACTTTGGTGAAAGGAAGCTTCGCTGTCATCCGGTTCAATACCATGCCGATCCTAGTGCAGCCTCACGGGGTTCGCCACTCCAAGTCTCGGGGATAAGATTGCCGGTTTCTATCACCGAATAGTAGGTTTACGCTACTATGGGGTTCACCCTGTCTGCTGTTCACCACACGAAAATGTGTAATAAAAGACATGTCAAAAGGAAAATACCACTAAACAGAGACTAGAATAAGTATACTTTATGATTATTTATTTAAACACGCAAACAATTACAGAACTGGCAAATGTGCCACTATGTATGAAGAATGTGTTGACGCGTTGTGTGGGCGTCACCTCCCGGTTACTCTGACTGAAGAACTGGGATAACCTCCGGTTCCACCCGAAGCTTTTGGCTAGAAAGCCAGACCGACAAGACAGCAGGACGAAGCTCAGAGTCTGCATTCCATTGGAGACTGATGTCTAATTCATCAGATCGTACGCACTTTGGATGGGATCAAACGCCCAAGGTGCCCAATATACCCTGAAGCTTAATCGAATCGGTGACCACCGCCACAACCAAGAAGTTATGGGTGTGGTTCATACGCTTCGTCTTGATTGGTTTGGAATCAGGATTTTTGGCCAACTCCCCTAGGTCATCATCGTACAGCGAAATACAGTGAAGCGAACTTCACTGACCGCTGCTCCCCTAGGTGAACTGCCAGTGGTTCGCCGATCCGGTTATCGGCATTTTCGTCCCCACACTAGTGGGAAACCACCTCCGCGACAGGAATGCAATGAGTATGGCTTCCTGAACAGAGGCTGTTTGAGACGCTAGGTCATATAGGAGCATTTCGTGGGGTGTGAGGGAGAAGTGACCCACCTGACCATATTGAGATTTTCGGATGTGTTAAGTATTAGTCGGCTCCTTGGTTGACAGCAAGTGATTACTCCTGGAGGTCACTTAAGCAGGCCAGCGTAGAAAAAAACAACTTGTAATTTGGTAAAACCCCGAAGAAAAATTGCAGCACCTGAGGAGCTATTTTCTGACGATAGGATAAGTGCCATGATTCGCTGATCTGCTGCACAAACCAAAGGTTAGCAGCTAACAGTCAATAAAGTTCTGTTTTATCTACGTTCCGTTAGTTTTATTCAGTGCAAAAAGTGAGGTCAATTGTTAAGTGCATAATGAGAACCACGCCACTAATAAAAAGAAAAAAGCATCTCAAAGACTTCAAGTGGAGGGAAAGGAAGCCCCCATGATGAGCTCATGTTCCACTGACTTCGGGGTTTGGTTGGGTTTATTACTGAAAGCAAGGGACAGCTGATGGATCATGATCTTAGTTCTTTTTCCACTTTACTCAATCATTAAGGAACACGACACCCGCTGGTCGACGTTGTGCACGGTGTAGTTCAAAGACTTGGCGCAGAATAAAGATTTGATCGATACAATCGCGACCTGGTCGTTGTTGTTCGCGGATATTTGCCTCCCTAAACGGTGTCAGACATCGGAGTCTGAGGGAGGCTAATAACTTGGTGACTATTGAAATCGAACTTACTCCACGGTGGTTTGCGCAGTAGTTGCGAGATCCTTTCTTGAAAATGGGAACCATCAGTGATTCGCTCTTCTGACCAGATGTTACGCGTCNNNNGAGTCGACGAGGCCATCGCTCCCCACCCTGAAAAGAGTGGGGGAAGCCTTTCAGGTTCTGCTGCTTTTACTTTCTTCAGCGCTTGGATGCAAGATCGTAACTCTGATTCAGCAGGAGATTCACCAGACCCTACCCACGTAGTCTCTGCTACAACAGACGATATAGTCTGGTTGACGTCCGGACAGCTGAACTGCTCATTGAAGTACCCCCCCCCCNCCCACGATTACCATACAGAAGACATGGTTCAGCTGTACATAGCCAACACTTCAAACATTCTAAACTGACAAGAAACGACAAAGACCGCAATCGCCGTCGGTCAGTTGCCATATATTTTTATGCCTTCAACCGACCAGTTTCAGAATTGCGTGAACTTCAGTCTGAAAGACGAGCGAGGGAGGGAGCAAGTTTACTCCATCTCTTGGTGTATCTATTCATGACACGTATTCTTCTGATCTCCATGTGATTTATTCATTCTGGAGCAGCGACTGTATATGAGGCATAGTGCGGAAGACGACTACTTAGCATGTTCCAGGCGGGTAGCTTACTCATCCCAATGCGGGTTAACAGAGAACTTTCCATCAATGAATTATTAAATACACGGAGGCTTACCTTGAGGTTACTCGCACGATCATTTCATCTTACCTGAGCCGAACTACGTTCATACCGACGGCCAAATCGTTCGAAATCTTTCCTTTAGACGCAAACACGAAGTCCTCCAACCACAAAGTAGA